AGGCGTTCCAAGTACTTGTACCCCTGCCACCCACATGGGAGATCAGGTGGGGCCCCAGGCTCTTGATTCTAATGGCCCATCCCTAGCTGTGTGGTCATTTGGGGAGTGAACCAATAAACGGAGAAATTCTTTCTTGTTCTGTGGGAAAGATAAAAGTGAAGCTTTTAAAATTGTCTCTCCCCTCTCTCTCTGTTGTTCTTTCAAATCAATAAATAAATCTTTTTTAAAAAGCTACAGAGGGCCGGCGCCGCGGCTCACTAGGCTAATCCTCCGCCTAGCGGCGCTGGCACACCGGGTTCTAGTCCCGGTCGGGGCGCCGGATTCTGTCCCGGTTGCCCCTCTTCCAGGCCAGCCCTCTGCTGTGGCCAGGGAGTGCAGTGGAGGATGGCCCAGGTGCTTGGGCCCTGCACCCCATGGGAGACCAGGAAAAGCACCTGGCTCCTGGCTCCTGCCATCGGATCAGCGCGGTGCGCCGGCCGCAGCGCGGCAGCCGCGGCGGCCATTGGAGGGTGAACGAACGGCAAAGGAAGACCTTTCTCTCTGTCTCTCTCACTGTCCACTCTGCCTGTAAAAAAAAAAAAAAAAAAAAAAAGCTGCAGAGAAAAATTACATGGCAAGAAGGCATAGAAAGTCAAGGGAATTTTTTAGGAACTTCAAACTATGTATTTGTTTGTTTGTTTGTTTGTTTTCATTTTATTCTGAACAGCAGAAAATTAGAGATCTTCATCTGCTGGTTCACTCCCCAAATGCCTGCAACAGCAGCTAATGTAGAACCATTGCATTTGCTCTTCGGAGATAAGGAGCTGAAGACATACAAATACTCCTAGACTGCTTGACCTCAGCGGCTTGGTCTCCCTTTCTACCAGTGCCTCTGATCGTATTGCTCGGAGCTTCTCTTTTCTTTATTTAATAAACTTTGCTTCTTCTATTCCCACTGCTGTGTCAGTCTCGCAAATAGTCATTGACAACAGGACAGGAACTGGGACTCATCTCACCCGGTTCCCTGTGACACCTGCGGTCTAAGGGATGCCAGTGTCGCAAGCCACAGCTCAGCCGACGGCTCCACAGCATCAGCTCTAGGGCTGAAGCTCCTGTGTGATGTGAAGATTCGTCCACCAGGAGCCCCATCCGGCAAGGAGGCCGGGTGGCCTCATCTCAGGAGGACAAAGTGAAAGTGCTCTGGGTGGTATCTGGGTCGCCCGTGGAACTGCAGGCCCTGGGGGTTGAAGGGAACCCTGGGGATGGTCTCACCTGTGGTTTGCTAACTTCATTTTCATCGGATCAACTGTAGGGGCGGGGGGCGGTCAGGAATTTCCTCCAAGGTCGCTGACTGGGCCACCTTCCAGGCAGCACTGATGCTGGTACTTGGGGCCCAGCCAAGGCCTCAGTGGGCACAGAATGTGCTGAGGCTCTCTGGGCCGATGCGTCTGCTCGACCCCACCCCAGTCATGTCAGGGCCTCCTTCCTTCCTCCCCCTCTCCTTTCTTTAAGCTTTCTTTTCTTGTGTCATCTTTCTGTCTGCTTCTTTTCAATTTTTATTTATTTTTTGCTTATTTATTAGTCAGATAAAATTTAATTTTCTGTAAGAATACCCTTTTCCAATTGACTTCATATTATTATTATTATTATCATTATTATTATTATTTGAAAGGCAGAGATACAGAGACAGAGAGGGAGGGAGGGAGAGAAAGATATTCCATCTGCTAGTTCACTCCCCAAATGGTGACTTGGGTGGAGCTAGGCAGATTCAAAGCCAGGAGCCAGGAGGTTTTTCTGGGTCTCCCATTCAGGTGCAGGGGCCCAGGCTCTTGGGTCTTCCTCCACTGCTTTCCCAGACCATTAGCAGAGAGCTGGACTGGAAGTGGAGCAGCCAGGTCTCGAACTGGCACCCGCACGGGATGCTGGCACTGCAGGCTGTGGCTTTACCCGCTATGCCACAGCTGTAGCCCCAGTTGACCTTGTGTGTGTGTGTGTGTGTGTGTGTGTGTTTTATCTTTCTACTGGGACACTTCAAACACTTTGTGGGAAGTGCATATTATGAAATTGGAATTTTTGCACCAAAGTAAACTGATCTTTTACCTGTTTTCCATGATATTTATTGGCCCCATGTACATCTCAGTGGTTGCAGGGGAATGAGGCCTCCTCATCTGCCCTGGACCCTCAGGTGTGGACATGGACTGGATGTACATTCTGAGCCAGGTTGGGCAGGGGTTCCAGGCCAAGAGGGCTCTGCTGCTGACCTCTGGGTGGGGCTGGGCAGACCTGGTCCTTTGTTGGGCTGAGAGCATCCGGATGTTCCTGAGCCACATCAGTTGTGTTGCTGAGAGCCTGGACTGGGGGTGGGGCGCAGACTCCTCCCACCTGAGGGGCAGATGGCAGCCAGAGGGAGGAGCATCCACCAGGGCTCTGCCCAGCAGGTGGATCAGCCCACCAACTGGGTTCATGCTAGTTACAGATGGCAAGGAAAATTTTTAAAACTGAAACAAGAAATACTACTGTGTGTGTGCACGCATATGTGTCTTTTTTTTTTCAAAAAGGGTGAAAGTAGAAAACAGTTCTTTATACTTTTTCCCAGAGAGGATAACACAGTAAGATCTTTATCTTCACATTATCAAGGTAAATGAATTCTTTATCAGACTCTGCTTCTGAGAAAAGCAATGGGTGAGGAGAGTATTTGGGTAGCAGTTAAGACCCAGGCTGAGACACCTGCGTCCACAGCACGCCTGGCTTCGATATCTGGCTGCAGCTCCTGGATCCAGTTTCTCCCTCACACAGACCCTAGAGGCAGTGGTCATGGCTCACATATGGGGTCTCAGCCACCACATGGGAGACTGGACTGAGTCCTAGCTCCTGGCTTTGGCAACAGTGTGAGCACTCAGAGTGAAAAGGAGTGGGAGCTTGTTCTCTCTCTCTCTCTCTCTCTCTCTCGCTTCCTCTCCCCCCATCCCTATCTTTCAAATAAATAAATTAAAAAGAAAAAAGAAAAGAATGGAAGCTTTTCCATTAAAATAGTATTTTTTAAAAAGATTTTTATTTATTTTATGTATTTGAGAGGCAGAGGAGGGGAGTGGGGAGACAGAGAGAAAGGTCTTCCCTCCACTGGTTTATTTCCCAAATGATAACAGTGGCCAGAGTGGGTCAATCTGAAGCCAGGAGCCAGGAGCTTCTTCCCAGTCACCACGCACGTGCAGGGAGGGATCCAAGCAGAGATCTGGATTGGAAGAGGAGCAGCCAGGACAGGAACTGGCACCCATATGGGATGCTAGCGCCACAGGCAGAGGCTTAGCCTGCTATATACCATAGTGCCGATCACAGCTATAGTATTTTTTTATTTTGCTGTTAAAAATAGAAAGTTTATTTTTAAAAATAATACCACCCCAAGCATTCATCTAAATAGCAACAGATGAGAGTGGAACTTAGAAATGGCGCAGCTAGGCTACCGGCTTCCATACCCAGAGGCGGTGAGCTGGGCACTAGCAGACGTTGAACCAAAGCTTCAGGAAGGGCCAGTTCACAGGCGTGGATGGGGCCAGCAGCCCCAGTTTCCAGCCGGGCCCAGCGGGTGCATGAGAGCCTCTGGAGCAGCACAGGAGTGCCGTCTTCCTGTGTACGATGGACCCACTTTGGCCGGGCAGCCTTCGTGACTGGTCCTTATCCTCTTAGCCCTTTGTGGGGCTGGCAGCTTGCTCTTCTTCCGTTGGTTCCTTGCTGTGTTTGTAAAAATAGTGTTTAAATTATAATAATTTTATTTTATTTTTAATCTAATATTTTCTAATATTTATTTGAAAGAGAGACTGACAGGCAGTGGCAGAGAGAGAGAGAGAGAGAGAGAGAGAGAGAGAGAGAGAAAGAGAGGTTCTCCAACCACTAGTTCACACCCTAAATGGCTGTGTCTGCCAGAGCTGGGCCGATCCACAGCCAGGGGCTTCCCAGGTCTCCCATGTGGGTGAAGGGGCCCGAGCATTTGGGCCATTCTCCACTGCTTTCCAAGGCCATCAGCAGAGAGCAGGATCAGAAATGGAGCATCCAGGACTCGAACCGACACCTATATGAGATTTGGCACAGCAGGCAGTGGTTTTACCATTTAGGCCACAGTGCCAGCCCCTAAAATTTTAATACATTTAATATACTTTGGGTTAACAGTTGTTTTATGGCTGAGGTATTTATTGAAAGCTATTTGGAAAGTACTAGAAATAACTAAGATAAGAGGTATGACCTGTCTATTAACAGGAAGTAAAATATTAACTCAATAGCATTAGGATAATTTATACTTTAAGCAAGAACCCCTTGGTGCTTAGTGAATAGCAGTCATGTTAAAGTTGATGGGCCGTGGTCCTGGGAGCTGAGGAGTCCTGGTCCATGGTCCTGGGAGTGGGAGTTGCTGTGTGCTGCCCTCCTGCTGGAGCTCATCTGCTCCTGGAAGCTTTTGTTACAGAAAAGCTCACCTTGGCAGGGTACTCCCTCTTCCCCTCCCTCTCCTTCTCCCTCTCCTGCCTGATACTCAGGGCAAAGGCTGGGCTGCAGGCAGAGATCAGTGTCCAGGTGATGTCATCGTGGGGGCAGCTGAGAATCCAAGGCCCTTGGCAGCTCTTTCTCACTCTGAGTTGTCTGCAGCTGGGGCTGGGGTGAGGGATGGGGGTGAGGGGTGGGGAATGGGAGGGCTGGGGTGAGGGTTGGGGTGAGGCTGGGGGAATGGGAGGGCTGGGGTGAGGGCTGGGGGAATGGGAGCCAGAGTCTCTCTGCAGCTCCAGCCCTCCCTCCCCTAGGAAGTTCCTGGTGTCAGGAGGTGCAGGGTTCCTGTCCTCCTGCATCTGCTCCCAGCTGTGACAGGAGCTGCAGGAATCTACTGTGTGTAGCTCAGATCCTGACACTAAACAGTCATGGGCTGAAATTTAGTTTCTTCTGAGATTTCCTGAACGTTCCCAGCATCTTTCAGCTTTGGGGAAGTCTCAGTGCTGGGCAGGGACAGGTGGTGGCTGAGGGGGAGGGGCTGAGGCACTGTGAGCTCTAAGCAGGGTGTGCTGCAGCCACTCCCAGGGCAGCTGTGGTGCTATCTCCTGCCCTGTGCTCCTGCTGACAACAGGGAGCGAGGTCCACAGGGCAGGGCACTTCCTGCCCAGGCTGCTTCTGCAAGTTTTCACTGTAGATGCTGGAAGGAGACGGAGGGGCTGGCTCTTCTGGCTGGGAGGTCCTGGTGGGGCCCAGGGCCAGGGCCTCTGCAGAGGCTGCTGCACTGTGCCAGCTCTGCTGCTCCTCCGGACTCCTGGGAGCCCACTGCCTCCTGGATGTCAGGAATCCTGGGCCCCCAGCAAGGACCTGGAAGCAGGGGTTGTGTGCTGAGATTTGCAGTCTGCTGGGGTCTCTGTGGCTCTGAAGTTTCTGGAGCTGCTGAATGTTAGACCCTGCAGGAAGTCACAGCTTTCCCAGCTGGGAAGAAGGAGGAGCAGGTAAGCTGGCTTGAAGACGCCTGTGGGGGAGGAGGAGGAAGGCAGGAGCAGCTGGCTGGGCAGGAGGCTGAGAGTGTGGTGGGGCACAGGGCAGGGGGAGGGGGCGGCTGGGGAAAAGTCTCAGTCCAGGGAGACCAGGACAGCAGTGAGCACTGAGCCTTTACTCACTTCTCTCACTTCTGCACCTCAGTGTCTGCTATGACCAAGCCCTGTTCTAACCTCACAGGGTGACTGCAGCGACACAAAGGCTTGGACCCCTCCCTGCATTGGAGGGGGCTGCTGTTACCTCCCCCATTTGCTGATCAGGACCCTGAGCCCAGGAAGGCCAAGGACCTTGCTAGCAGTGAAGTCACCCAGAGTGGCCGAGAATGCAGGGAGCCCAGCAGAGGGGCCCTCGAGCCCGTCCTTAACCAGAGCAAAGCTGCCTTCCTCTCCCTCCTTACAAATAGTGTGTGAAACTTTTTTTCCTTACAGGCAGAATTAGATAGTGAGAAGAGAGAGACAGAGAGAAAGGTCTTCCTTCTGTTGGTTCACCCCCAAATGGCTTCTACAGCTGGTGTGCTGTGCTGATCCAAAGCCAGGAGCCAGGTGCTTCCTCCTGGTCTCCCATCTGGGTGCAGGGCCCAAGGACCTGGGCCATCCTCCACTGCCTTCCCCAGCCACAGCAGAGAGCTGGACTGGAAGAGGAACAACCGGGACAGAACCAGCACCCCAACATGGACTAGAACTCAGGGTGCCAGCGCCGCAGGCAGAGGATTAGCCTAGTGAGCCACAGCGCCGGCCCGGAACTTTTTCTGATGAAGGCTCATTTTGTCTTCTCTGTGGTCCTGCCTCCCACCAGTGTAATTAGCTGCTCATGCAGAAATCTTCAAGTGTTGAGAGAGTGAGGATTTACATGTCAGCAGGAAATTGTGTGGGAACCTGCTGAACCAAGGACCATGACCTTGGCCTGTGGAGTAAGAGGCTGGGAGTGGGGGTCAAATTTAGGTCAACACCACAGCCACAGATGCCACAGTGCTGGGTCCCTGGGGATGGGCAGCACTGTGGCATCTGTGTCTGTGGTGTTCAGTGAGCATGTATCTGTCCCTGACGCTTCTCAGGGGACACCCAGGTCACCACTGGAGGTTGAAGAGCTGCAGGAAGCAGGAGGTGGTGCGTCCTTCAGGGTGAGTGGCCTGAATCAGGGTCTCTGTCCTGGTGGGGTGGGTGCTGGGCACTGTGTGCACAGTGCATGGTTTCCTCCATGGGGCCCCTGGGGCTGAGAAAGAAGAGACCTGATTTTCCAGGTGGAGGAACTCATTCCGGGTGAGAAGAGGGGGGGCTGTTTCCCCCCAGGATGCCCTGAGGGTCTCTGGCACCGCAGTCTCCCCAGAAGGGCTGGTAGAGCCCCGGCCCAGCTGTCTGTGCTGTCGGGATCCTGTGGGCCCCACGGTGCTGGCGTGCTGAGGCTGTAGGGAAGGCTCTGCTGCTGTGAGGGCTGACGGGGAGGACCCTGTCCTGCTGGTGCTCTGGGGCTGACCTGCCTGCTGGCCCAGGCCTCCTCCTCCCCGCCTCTCTCCCCAGCTCTGAGGACATGGAGCACGGCTGCCGCCCCTCTCTGCTCTGCAGTCTCCCCTCCCTGCTTCTCCTCGCCCAGCTGCCCACGTGGGGGTCTGCAGGTGAGTCTGTCCCTGTCCCTCCCCGGGGTCTTCTTCAGGAAGTGAGTGGAGCCCCCCACCCTCTTTCAGGATAGGATGAGATTTGTGGGGGCCCAGGCTCTAGAAAGGGGATGGGGCTCCCCCAGCCATTACTTGTCATTAAAAATTTACTACCAGTCACTCACCAATGAAGTGAGCATGTGTGATCTCGACAATTGTCTAGGGATTTGGGATATTTAATCAATTGATTAATTTAAAAATTTATTCATTTATTTGAAGGCTAGATTTACAGACACAGAGAAGGAGAGATAAACGAATCTATCCACTAGTTTACCCCCAAACAGCTGCAATGGTTGGGTCTATGTTAGGCTGAAGACAGGAGCTAGGAGCCTCTTCTGGGTCTCCCATGTTGGTGCAGGGACCAGGCACATGGGCCATCTTCCATTGCTTTCCCAGATGCATTAGCAGGGAGCAAGATTGTGGAAGTGGAACAGATGGGACATGAATTAGTGCCCAAATGGGATGCTGGTGTCACAAGTGACAACCTAAGCTGCTAGAAGGAAAATTTGCATTTAAGTACATCTCAAATTCAGTGGAGGAGAAAACTATAGACAGAAACAAAAAACTTAGGAGACAAGGTAGGGAGTTTCCTGGTGTGGCTGAGTGACCCAGGAGCTCTGAGGGAGGTCCCCGGGTGCTCTGTGCTCAGTCTCCAGGCTTGTCCTCCCCTAGGCCAGGTTAGGGTTCATGACCAGGAGAGTCAGCTCCCTGGGGACTGCTCACAATTGCTTAGACATTGTTGGGCCACCCCAGACCGAGTAGTCAGGAGTTCTGGGGGTGGACCTGTGATCTGGGTTTACAAACTGTCCTGTGGATTCTGGGGCACGCTCATGGTAGAGACTCCCTGTGTAGCAATTTCTTCATGGGACAGCCTGGGGCCAGGGGCCAGGCTCACGAGGGCGTCTGTGACATCCGTTCTGGGCCACCACCTGTGGTCTGAGGATCTCATCCAGATTCAGAGTCATCACTGCTCAGTCCCTCAGCCTGGGGGTCACCTCTTCCAGCGCCTGTTCCCGGTCTGCCTGTTCTTCCCCCGTGGTCTCTGTGTCTCTGCCCCCTGCCTGTGTCTCAGTTCTCAGTTGTTCTATGTCCACAGATGAGTTCCTGGTGATCAGCCCCTCAGTTCCTGTTGTGGCAGAGTTGGGTGGTGATGCCATTCTGCCCTGCTCCCTGGTCCCAGCCATGAATGCAGAGGACATGGAGCTGCGGTGGTTCCGTACCAAGTTCTCAGAAGCGGTGTTCGTCTATCGGAACGGCCGGGAACTGCACGAGGAGCAGATGCCCCAGTACGCAGTGCGGACATCGCTGGTGAGGGATCTCTTAACCCACGGGAAGGCTGCTGTTTACATTCTGGAGGTCCAGGCTTCAGACAACGGGAGCTACACCTGCTTCTTCCAGAAGGGAGGCCGCTATGCAGAGGCCATTCTAGAACTGCAGGTGGCAGGTAAGTGGCTTGATCTGTATTCTACATCTACACTTTGGGAATATTGGAAACTCACGTAATTAAGCAGTTCATTTTATATGTGTGGGAAAGACGGCTCACTGCCTCAATCTGTTTCTTCAATATAAATCTTGTATATGGAGCCCCTATTGTACCAGGGACTCATGAGTGAAGCAGATTCTTGCCCTTTGTAGTATATATTCTAGAGGCTGAGATAACAAAAAAGTGAAATAAATGAATGGTTGGATGCTGTTAGAAGGGGATATTTACTAAAGAAAAAAAATACCAGAAGGCCAAGTGTGAAAATGAAGGGAACAGAATACAGGGTAGGGAGTGAGGGCAGCTCCTGGTGCTACACAGGGATCAGGTGGGGCCTGGTTAATGATCGCAGCACAGCTCACAGGAAGTAGGTGTCTCACCAAGTGGATATCTGGGGGCACAGAGTTCAGTGCAGTGGGGCCCCCAGAGAGAAACCCTATATGGGAGCAAGTCTGGTGTGCTCGGGGCATTCATGGGGCACTGTGGTGAGTGGGGGTGGTGATGTGGGGATGCAGTAAGTACCAGTAGGACTATAATAAAGAGGTAGATATCCCTGGACTAGCACTGCCCCTACTGACCAGGAAAAGTTCATTCAGCATAGACATTTGTGCTGGCCCCTGAGTACTGCAGTAAAAGTCCCAAGAGCCCCCTGAGCACTGGAATGTGAGCAGGCAGGGGTAACACATAGCATAGCAACCATGGCCATTCACAGTGAACTGGGTGTGTGGTCTATGAGGGGCACAGATGATGGAGTTTGAGGGGAGGCAGGAGGAGGGGTGCAAGGAGGATCCCAGGTCAGGGCAGGTGCTGTGTGCTGTGCTGAGGTCTGCATGCAGGAGAGGAAACTTTATTTTTTTTAATTTTTGGACAGGAAGAGTTAGACAGTGAGAGAGACAGAGAGAAAGGTCTTCCTTTTTCCGTTGGTTCACCCCCCAAATGGACGCTACAGCCAGTGTGTTGCGGCCGGCACACTGCGCCAATCAGAAGCCAGGAACCAGGTGCTTCCTCCTGGTCTCCCATCTGGGTGCAGGGCCAGAGGACTTGGGCCATCCTCCACTGCAATCCTGGGCCACAGCAGAGAGCTGGACTGGAAGAGGAGCAACCTGAACTAGAACCCGGGATGCCGGCACGCAGGCGGAGGATTAGTCTAGTGAGCTGCAGCGCCGGCCATGGAGGGGAAACTTTAAACAGAGCAGGGGCGGGAGCACTGACTGAGGTGATTGGGAGGAGGGTGAGTGGGAGGTGAGCAGAGGGAGGCGTGAGAGCAGTTCTGAGGATTTGAGGACGACTGTGTGACCTTAGACAGCCACAGTGGGGTGGGGGCAGGGCCCAGACAGGGGGGAAAGACAGAAAGCAGACCCAGCTGAGTGAGTGGATCTGGGACACAGAGAGTTAGGAGGGGGCAGCGGTGACTGCAGAGACTGCCAGGGGTTTGCACTGCTGTCTGTTCTTCAGTGGTGGGAATATTGGTAATTGTGTGTCAAGGACGCTTTCCTGTAGTAACTGTATAAAAAGCCAGGAAACCTCAGTGGCCTATGGCAAAGATACTCATTCAATATGGGCATTGAGTGATTTAAACTGATCTGGGTTGGATTTGGCTAGTATCAGGTGGGTTTGCTCACACATTGTTGGTCTGGGTGTGGAAATAAAACCAAAACCAAGGTTCTTTCCCAGCAATCCTCTTTGCAAAGGGACTGGAGAAAGACAACACTTTGATTGGTCAACAGGAACCAAATCAGAACACATTACACATCACAAGAAATCCATTAAAAGTTTCAAAGACATAAAAAAAATCTTTTTAAATGTGTGTAGCCAAGCAGATCTAATATGCATTGCACACATTTTAAAAAGTCTTATTTAGCTTTATGCAGTTGGGTGTTTGCTTCACACCATGGCACCCAAGGGCAGAGTGGGCATGGGAGTGAAGAAGCAGATCGTTTAAGAGAATGGAGGCCGGCACCGTGGCATACTAGGCTAATCCTCCGCCTGCGGCGCCGGCAGCCTGAGTTCTAGTCCCGGTTGGGGCACCGGATTCTGTCCCGGTTGCTCCTCTTCCAGTCCAGTTCTCTGCTGTGGAGGATGGCCCAGGTCCTTGGGCCCTACACCTGCATGGGAGACCAGGAAGAAGCACCTGGTTCCTGGCTTCGGATCAGCGCAGCACGCTGGCAGCAATATGCCGGCCATAGCGGCCACTTGGGGGGTGAACCAATGGAAAAAGGAAGACCTTTCTCTCTGTTTCTCTCTCTCTCTCTCACTGTCTAACTCTGTATGTCCAAAAAATAAAATAAAATAAAAAAAAGAAATGAAGAGAATGGAGAGCCCTGAGTTTCACCTGTGCCTCATCCTGGGGCCAACACCATGACTGCCTGTGACCTTAGTCTCCTTCTACTCAGTGGCTTTGTTTGGGATCTCCATTGCCCTGGGCTTTAGTCTGGCAGTGTGTGGGGCCAGCTGTCACTCTCTGAGCTCCTGGCATGGGCAGCCTTCTCCAAGGACGGGGCCTTGGTGGGTGGGGCGGGGACCCCACGTGGAGCAGGGCATGCAGAGCACCTCAGGGTGGATCCTGCTGACAGCCACCGGGCAGGTGCTCAGCTGCTCCTCCCTCCCCGTCTGGTCCTGCTGGGATCTGCCCCAGTCTGGGCCCCTCACCCCCATGGGTGAACGTGTGGGTCCCTGGTCCATGGAGAGTGTGGTGCCCCAGCACAGAGCACAGTGAGCAACGGCAGTGCTGGTAGGAGCAGTGGCCAATGCAGTGATGATAGCCCTGATGTGGCCCCGGCTGCTGGGCCCTTGGTGGCTCCTATCAGGCTACCTGGCCCCTGTTTGTGTTGTGATGAGGGCCCATCAGAGGCTCAACAGCAGTCTGAAGTGAAGGGTTGTTGAATAAATGGCCTAGAATGTGAACAATAGTTTCATTTATTTATTTATTTTCTAATTTTAAAGGCAAGCAACAAAGAGGCAGAGAGGCAAAGAGATCTCCCATCCACAGATTCACTCCCCAAATGCTTACAATAGCTGGGGTGTGGCCAGGCTGAAGCCAGGATCTCAGAACTCCTGAGTCTCCCCTGTCTGTGGCAGAGACACAAACACTTGATCCCTCACCTGCTGGTTCCCTGTGTGCATATCCAGGAAGCTGGATTGGAAGCTGAGGGGACTGGAACCCAGGCCCTCAGATATGGGATGTGGGCATCTCAAGTGTTATGTTAACTGCTGCACCAGTCCATGTTTTGAAAATAAACAATAATTAATCCTCAAATTAGAAGACTTGAAGCAGATATAATCTAGTGCATACCACACAGAGCTCACCCTAAATGTACCCAGTAATCGTAGTGGCCATCTGTCTTGGTTAATAGGCTTTATCTGGAGGAAAAAAAAAGCAAAGTTCTATTTTTTAAAGAGATTTATTAATTTTATTTGAAAGGCAGAGATAGAGAAGGTGGGAGGAAAGGAGGGGAGGGAGTGAGAGAGAGAGATTGAGAGATTGTTCTTACATCTGCTGGTTTACTCCCAAAATGGCTGCAATGGGCCTGAGCCAGGCCGAAGCCAGGATCTAGGAGCTTCTTCTGAATCTCCTACATGAGTGCAGGGGCTCATGCTTTTGAGACATCTTCAGCTGCTTTCCCAGGCACATCAGCAGAGAGCTGGATCAGAAGTAGAGCAGCCAAGATTCCAACAGGTGCTCATATGAGATTCCGGGACTGCAGGCAGAGGCTTAACTTTCTATGCCTCAGTGCCAGATCCTCTTGTTCTATTTTTATAATAGAAGTAATTTTACTTGCTGAAGTGAGGCTCTGATGCTTCCACAGAAAGGAGAAAAGGAGGCCGTCTTCTTCAATGCTTGCATTTCACTGTGTTGTCCCCAGGTTTCCTGAGGAAGACATTCCTGGTCATTAAGCTGGCCAGAGGCCTATCTGCTTTTCTAATGATAATATTTCACTTGAGGAGAGGTATTCATAGTTCCCAGTGCTCTAAAGTTAACGCTCAGTGAAAATGGAGGAGAGGGGAATTTCTCTTATTTTCAACAGGGAGAATGAGGTCTTACTTCAATACTTATTGTTCTTGTAGTCAGCTGGGGAGGTCACCACGTGGACCGTGCCTGGGTGTATTCCCATTCCTTTTTTCTTTTTCTTCAAAGATCTGTTTATTTATTTATTTTTAAAGATTTATTTATTTACTTGAAAGTCAGACTTACACAGAAGGGAGGCAAAGAGAGAGAGAAAGGTCTTCCATCTGCTTGTTCAGTCCCCAACTGGCTGCAACATCTAGAGCTGTGCTAATCTGAAGTCAGGAGCCAGGAGCTTCTTCCGCATCTCCCACATGGGTGCAGGGGCCCAAGGACTTGAGCCATCTTCCACTGCCCTCCCAGGCCATAGCAGGGAGCTGGATCAGAAGTGGCACATGGGCCAGCACTGTGGCACAGCAGGTTAAAGCCCTGGTCTTAAGCAATGGCATCCCATATGCGCGCTGGCTTAAGAACAGGCTGCTCCACTTCCAATCCAGCTCTTTGCTATGGCCTGGGAAAGCAGTAGAAGATGGCCCAAGTCCTTGGGCCCTGCACAACTGTGAGAGACCCAGAAGAAGCTCCTGGCTTCCGGCTTCAGATTGGCACAGCTCTGCTCTTGTGGTCATCTGGGGAGTGAACCAGTGGAAGGAAGACCTCTCTACCTCTGCATCTCTGTAACTCTATCTTTCAAATAAATAAGGAAAATCTTTAAAAAAATTGTATGTAAGGGAACCTGCCAGAGATAACTCAGGGATGTGCATATAAGGGAAGGGAGTGGGGAGACAGAGATGTTGACTGGTGTAGTTTTGGAAATGATTTACCTAGAGTACAGTGAGAATCATAGCAGGTGCCCCAGCAGGTACGATAGAGACAGAGATCTTCCATCTGCTGGTTCACTGTCCAAATGCTCACAAGAGCACCAGTGACAAAAGTGCTTTCCAAGCCTCTGCTTAAGTCAGGT